GATGCGGGACTCGATCCCGGGACTCCAGGATCATGACCTGAGCGGAAGGAAGTCGCTTAACCAACTGAGCCACGCAGGCGCCCAACAGTGAAGTTTTTAACTGGCTCATCTTGCTAATCCACTAACCAGTTATCTGGCCGTGAGACTAATTTCAATTATGGGATTTAAAAATTTTTGATCTTCATGAGATGTTTACTTACTATAAAATGTTCTTGCCAAAGAGTGAACCTTAGTTTTTCTGTGGGGACAAAAATCTGTCATGACCTCTGCTCATTAAATAGGCCAATCCCGGACAGGCTGCTGCTGCCCCCCGCAGCTAGGACCTTGACTCCTGGGGTCATTCTGTGCCCCACCACCCTCAGCCTCATTTGTTCTGTGGCAGCTGTGTTAGCCACAGCCTCGGGAATGCTTGTTGGTGGTCATTTATAGCTACAGATAATCTGAGTGAGGTGGGATCAACTAGAAGACATCTAACATAGCAATTGACCCCAATTGAGCAGTGTTTTAAAATTTAAGACTTCAGATTATATGCAGCAATGCATTAGTCTCTTCGATGTTAAAAGTCTTCTGCGAAAAATACTGATTTTTTAATTTGATATAATAATTTGATGACTTATCCCCTTTTCAGCTTTTTTTCCCCCTTTTAAAAATTAATGCATGCACCTCAGGGAGATGAATGTGATTTTCCCATAAAAATTTATATTTTCCTAATTTTTATAATATTCTTAGTAAATCTTGATTTTTCCCAAAACCATATTCTTAAAATACATCATACCTAGATCACTTCCCTGTGAGATCTTTGCAAGTGGTGTGTTTTTTAAAAAATTGTTTGGAAACAAATTTTGACTTCTGATATCGACAGAGCAGCTTGTTTGGACTAACCCTCTCATAAATGATAATTATAAATAATTATAAAACTGTTTAAAATGATGTTTAAGATAAGAAAATGGCATACATGAGAGTCCTTCAAAAGTCAGAAAAGTGGAGAGAAGTCTGGCCTTAAAAGCAGAAAGTGCACCTTGTGAGATTTGCAAGTTTGTCGGAGCACACTCACCAACCCACATCTTGCGTTGAAGGGGGGAGAGTCAGGCTGGCAGACCCGCCAGAATGGGGGGAGGGGGATCTAGAAGAGAATGAACTACAGAAGGTGTAGTCAACTTTTGACTGACCAGAAAGGAAAGGAAGGAAGGAAGGGAGGGAGGGAGGGAGGAAGGAAGGAAGGAAGAAAGCAAGCAAGCAAGCAAGCAAGCGAGTGCCTGAGTGGCTCAGTTGGTTAAGTGACTGCCTTTGACTCAGGTCATGATTCCGGGGTCCTGGGATCGAGTTCCACATCAGGCTCCCCCTGCTCTGCGGGGAGTCTGCATCTCC